CTGGTCGTTTTATTATACTACGCCCTAAAAAGAAAAAAACACCGGCAGCTGAAGAAAGCATTCGGAGGATACGTTTAAAAATCAGCGAGTCTTTTTAGGCAAGGCTGAAAATGACCGGGGCCGTAGAAGATGAGGGAGAGAATGCAGGCACCTATAAATCGCCAGATTGGGGCTTGAGGTGTGTTATATCAAAATAACCAACGGCTGTAATATAGAAGTTTACGAATTTTAATGAAGGTTTCAATGTGAGAAGTAAATGAAAGATTAGATGTCAGAATAACACCAAGATATGGGAACGAGGATACCTCCTTGGGCAGGATGTCTAAGGATTCAGGTCTGGGAGAAGGTCAGCACCAGAAAACGCACTAGACTGACTTTTGATTATTTAGTAAAAGACGACCATACTGAGACATGGTGCAGGTTATCTTTCAGAACCAGGAATTATGCCTGGCTTTTGAGAGGATGACTAATAATTATATCATCACCATCGTCAGTGTGGAGGGAGATGTGAGAGGATAACTTAAACCCTTGAAGAGCTCCGCAGTTGTTGGGAAGGACCGTGGATTTTCGCTTGCCGCATTGGACTATCGCTCATTAGCGAATGCTTATGAACTTTAAAGAAAAGAGCAGGCACCGCTCCTATATCAGTCAGTTAGTTTCGGTATCAACTTTCCTTGTGCAAAATCATTTGCTAATCCCATTACTGCCTTCTATGCACTTACTTATTTAAACTTTGCTTTTACGTCTAGTCAGAAGCTTGCAACATCTAAATTGTTACTTAGTAAGACACTGGAAGAGAAACCCCCAAACTAACACAGGTGGCATTACGCTAAATTTCAGGAAGATTAGGGTTAGACTTAAGGTAGGGCAAGAGACCAGGTACCATCCGTATTCGCGTGTATTTTCGTCTCTTCTCGCGGATCTCCACACCTTGTAATCCGTATTGCAGTAATATAAAACTAATAGCACCAAGGCATTTTGCGCATTTTCGCTGGCAGCCTGCTCTTCCGCATCGAGCGAGTGAATACGTTAGATTTCAATTTTCGTTTTGCGCTACGACTACGACGCTATCTTGCACAAATACGTTTGAAAACTAGTCAAATAAACACTTACCTCCGTTTTAGCCATTATCTAGTTTCTTTAACTGCCACAGTCGCCGGCGCTTTCCGCATTCTCTGAACGCTACGAATCGCAGAGCCTTCAGAAAGCCGCTTTCCCATGCGTGCGTATAAAGAGAAATTAAGACTCTTTGTCACTCTTCTGCTCTGTGTGTGTAGGATGTAGTGGCAGACCTGTTGTCTTTGTGTGTAAGTAGACCCTCTTAAACGTATTTGCTTGGAAGTACGTGTGTGTATTCTATTTCAGAGCTTTTTTTTCTTCTCCTATTCCGAGGACTTTTTATGTGCGCAAGTGTTCTTCCGTGTGCAGTCCTATAGGTGTCTGTTCTTCGTCGTCATACTAACAGGGATAGTTATCCTCCTCCTCCCCCCCCCCATAGTTGTCATCATCGCATAAAGTAAATTGAAGGGAGTGAAGACGCAGTAGAAGGAGGAGGAGGGGGATATATTGGTCGCCTATGCCTGCTTATGATATTATACCCTTTATTGTCAGTGAGTTTTGGCAGTCATCCGCGGTCACTTGACAGGCGCACGTCAAGTCGTGTATTTTTCTTGTTAAGGCGCCTTCCCCCGAACCCTGCTCCTCGTGCGTTGCCTTCTGCTCTTCTTCATAAACAGACGCTCTGGCCTCCTGCACACGCGAGGTCGTCGTCGTCGTTTAATTTTAGCCGTAATATTTTGCTTCTGC